TATTTTAAAAATTAAACCTGCAGTGTCCACCCTAGTGATGCAATGGGTTAAAGCACTTATGAAGCTATGGGCAGCCACTGAAGCCTGAGTTCAATGCCTGGTGAGAAAGGAGATGCACATGGTGTGGCAGAACTCTTCTGTCTCACCCACTGCTCCCCTTAGCAGTGTATTTCAGTCAGCCTACCTGTTTTGCTCCCCACTCTGGCTCTGGTGAATCCTCTCAACCCCCGCACCTCTGACCTGTACCCCAGTTCTTGTATACATAAATAAATAAATAAATAAATAAATAAATAAATAAATAAATAAATAAATAAATAAATAAATAAATAAATAAATAAATAAATAAATAAATAAATAAATAAATAAATAAATAAATAAATAAATATTTAAATAAACAAACAAACCTGCAATAAACCCAAAATCCAATAATCTAAGTTAATGCTAAAACCACTTGCTACTGGGGAAGAGGTTGAATTTCAAGTATCTATAGATTTGTTGACGTTTATATGTGAAACTACTCTCAACCATATTTTGAAAAGCTACTCAACAAAACTAAGATATTCTCTAAATCCTAATATGTTAAAAGGTAGCATATTTCCCACTAACAATCATTAATTTTGTAACTCAAAGCTGGTCCTGAGCTTTTCACCATACTTTCTTAACTCCTTTACATGTATACTATGAAAGAAACCAGCAGTTTTTTTGTTTTGTTTTGTTTTGTTTTTTCAAAGATTTATCAATTTATTCGTACACAGCTGGGGTACAGGCCAGAGATGTGGAGGGTGATAGGATTCACCAGAGACAGAGCGGAGAGCAGAACAGGCAGATCGACGGAGTACACCGCTGAGGGGAGCAGCGGGCGGGTCAGGAGAGGTCTGCCCCGCCATGTGGATCTCCTCCGGGGCAGGCGGGGATCGAACCCATGCGGAAGTGGCTTAAGCTTCTTAGTGCTGTGCTTTAATCCGCTGCACCACCAGGGAGGGCCCCAAAACCAGCAGTTTTAAGGGTCCAGGTTTGTACATACCCAGCTAACTGATTTTATATAAGATCTCAAAAGTTAGGCAGCAATAAAGGAGGTTCAACCATTATTAAAAGTTCTATTTTGGATAAAACCTAGAACCTACTGGGAGACCATAAAGTCAATTCAGTCAGCATTCTAACAACCAACACTCCTAAATAACAACTTAAAAAAAGCAAATAAAAATTTACTTTATTCTTATCATGTAAATATTTCTCATTATCAGTTTTTTAAGTTTTTTTTTTCCTATTTCTGAGCAAAGTTTCATGGAAAATCTGGTATTTAAAACATGTGAAACTCTACTAGAACTAGGAAAGACTTGCCTCTGTCCATGCCTTTAGTGTATGAGATTCGTCCAACTGCCTTCAGAAACATGAAAGTCACTGCCTTCAGCACCTATGTTATCGAAAAGCTTAACAACAATAATCTAAATAAGGACTGGGCCTCCCTGGTAGCGCAGGGGTTAGCGTCTCAGTACTACCAAGCGACTACAGCCACTGCAGCACGAGTCTGATCCCTGGCCAGGGAGCTGATCCATACGACACAGCAGACCTCTATTTTGCCCACTGTGCCCCTAAACAGTGTATTTTCAGTAAATCCACTTGCTCTGCTCCCCGCTGTCCTCTTATAATCACCCATCCTCTAGCCTACACCCAAATTCTTGTGTACATAAATAAAAATCTTAAAAGGAGTAAAGAGTGTTTAAAACAAAACATTCTAGCAGCAACTCTTCTGCCCACCTATGCCTCTACAGAGGGCCTCTCCTTTAACCAACCTGTAAAAAATAATCCTATTAATAAGGTAGTGCAGTCATACAACGTACGGTGCTAAAGGTCACCACTCTGTGACTATCCTGAAATCTCAACAAGTCCTTTAAAACTGTTTACATTCTGAAAAGAGGGTCACTACACTTAATCCCATCCTTACATATATATGGACAATCTGTACAATATGACAATCCCACTGAAAACAGGGAAATATTTCTTATTACGTTTCCCTGTGAAGTGCCTTTATAAAAGGAATCTCCTTTAGCTGTTCTTTGTGTGATCCACGATGCCATCAATTTTAAGTCTCATCATTAAATTTTGTGCCAATCAAGATAGTATCTCACTGTCACTGGTTTTAAGATGTTTATTTCAGAGAAGTTTTTAAGATTTTAAAACTTGGAGAAAGAAAACATGCAATATACCCCAAGAACTTAAGAGGCAAGTCTAAGACCAATCACTCAACCTTTTTGCTTAACAATGAAGAACTATTACTTCCTACAAGCTAGAAAACATGGTGAGTAAGGATGTGTGTGTGTGTGTGTGTGTGTGTGTGTGTGTGTGTGTGTGTGTGTGTGTAAGTAACTTAAGAAATTGGGTTCAATAGCAGTTTTACTTTAAAATTAGGAAGGGTGAATGATTCTGGATAAGTTAAAATTACTAGGGCTCAAAAAAAAATTTACTAGGGCACACTCGTGGATCATATCTCAGAGAATTTAATAAATTCATGAGCAAGGTTAAGGAAACAACCAGGAGCCCCCACCAGGTGAGGAAAAAAGAACAGAGTTTTGATTCCAAATAGCTGGAACACAATTAAAAACATGTGCTGTCGGGCCTTCCCTGGTGGCCCAACGGGTTAGAGTGCAGCACTATGGAAGCTAGCCTAGCCACAACTGCCTCAGCACGAGTTCGATCCCCAGGTAGAGGACATGCTAGCACAAGGTGCAGCAGAATTCTATCTCACCCACTGATGCCCTCAGCAGTGTACTTTTTGTCAATCTGCTTGTTCTGCTCCCCACTCTGTCTCTGGTGAACCCTCTCACCACCTACACACCTCTGGCCTGTACCCCAGTTCTGTGTGCATAAATAAATTAATCTTTAAAAAAATTAACAGGCAACTATTAATCAGAGACACATGCAGGGGGGGTAAGGAGAAAAGATCAAAACAGGAGGGAAGAACACAAGGGACTATAGTGGTAGTGCACAGATAAACTGTGATGGGAATTTTTTTGAAAAAAAGACTTATCTATTTATATATGCATACAGAAGTCAGGCCAGAGTCGCAGGGGTGGTGAGGATTCACCAGAGACAGAGTGGAGAACAGAACAGGCTGACTGACTAAGCACACTGCTGAGGGGAGCAGCAGGAAGACAGGAGAGGTCTGCTGCGCCATGTGGATCACCTCCAGGGCGGGGATCAAACTCATGCTGAAGTGGCTTTAGCTTCTAGTGCTGTGCTTTAACCCGCTGCACCACCAGGGAGGGCCCAGTGATGGAAATTTTACAGGGACTATACCTGAAAGAAGAAAGCATGCTTTGCACCAAAAGGAAAAATGACGTAATATATATGTGTATATATAAAATGTTACATATATTTTTATACAAATAAATGTGATGAGGGTAAAATAAATCAAGAGGTTTATACAGAGGTTAAAGAATAAATTTCCTGAGATAAAGATGCATCTGTAAAAGCATGAAGACTGAAAGAAAGAACAGGAATATGACAACACGAAAAATGCTTTCGGACAGCTAAACCCTGACTATTTTAAGGATATGACACCAGCTATAAGAAAAAGTGAGAAGAGGCTCCCTGGTGGCACAGCGATTAAAATCTCAGTACTATCAAGCTTTTATCAGTTTCTGAGGCAACCCTGGCCAGGGAGCTGACCCACATGATGCAGCAGACATCTCCTGTCTCACCCTCTGCTCCTCTTAGCAATGTAGTTTAGTGGATCCACCTATTCTGTTCCCCACTGTGTCTGGTGAATCCTCTCATCTCTTGCTCCTCTGGCCCGAACCCCAGTTCTTATATGCATAAATACATACTTAAATAAATGAAATCATATCTGAAAAATAATGTCAAAGCTTGTTTTGGCAGATTATAAAGTACTACGATATTAAAAATATTCTGCCACTTTGTTTATCTTTTACTCGAAATTTATTTGAAGTGATAACTTACACAAGTACACTATTAAATACTGAGAATAAAAGTATACTAAAGATAACAGACTATATAGAGATTTTGATAATACAGCAGAAAATACTTATGGTAATTTTAAAGCAAACAGGGTTAGTTATCTAATCCTAACTCATATACTCAAAAACTGCATTTCTTATAGTATAACTGAAATATTTAACATAATATGGTACCAATGGTCTTTCCCACAAGCAAATGTAACAATATACTAATACTAGCCAATTACCATTAGATACAGAATCAAAATTAAGTGAGCTTTATATTTTTTGAGTCGGCAACATAAACATCAAGAGACAACAGTACTCACAAATTAAATATTTCCTAAGTATCTACTATTGTATTTCCCCTGGCTATAATTTCCACAATGTAAATGTATATAAATCTTGACAAAAAAGTATACTGTTTTGGATTAGATTTTACTATGCTCTACAGTAAAGAATTTTAAAATCATTTTTATTATTTCCGAACTAAAAGTGTAACTACTGTGTATATCATAACTGCCTCTTTCATTCAATTTTTTTTTAAATTTTAATTGCTGTTAAGAATGGAAAAGCTACAAAGCACAGCAATTGGTTTTGCAATACCATTACTGCAAAAAAATTATTTTTTAAGGATTCATTTAGTTACACATACAAGAACTGGGATACAGGTCAGAGATGAGGGGGTGAAAGATTTCACGAAAGACAGAGCAGGGAGCAGCAAAAGGCAGATGTACTGTACACCTCTAAAGGGAGCAGTGGGTGGGTCAGAAGAGGTCTGTTGTGCCATATGGGTCAGCTCTCTGGCCAGGGATCAAATTCATGCTTCACAGTGCTGCACTTTAAGCCATCCCATCACCAGGGAGGGCCCCATTCCTGCCAACTTAAACCATCAACCTGACTGAACAAAAAGGGGGTGCCAATCCCTCCTCTAAGAACAATGCCTAAAAGACTCATTGTATGATTCAACAAGAGATTAAGACTTTATCAAGTAGTTCATTTTTATGGCATATCAACAATTAAATAGATTTAACAAGTACATACAGTTCCAGAGAGGACATCATGGGGGCAACAGTTGAGAAGGTGACTCTTGCATACTCTGTCATCACTGAATTTGATTCGTTGGCGAGTAGTATCTCCTGTAATATAGAAAAGTTAATAACATTCAAGGTTAGACAACTGGAAAATATTTATTTTCTGAGATCCCTACTATCACTAGCTTTTTATGTGTGGTTATATACACACACATTTATAAATCAGTTCAAGAGGGATTAGTTTTTATATAATGTCCTAAAGAAAAACTATTTTAGACAACATGCAGTTGCAGTATGTGTACTGCAAATATAATTCAAATAGTCAAAGTGGGAAAGCAATGCATTCTGTTAAACAAAGTAATTCAGAAAAGCATAGGATTTCAGAGCAGGAATGGACCTTAAGGATTATTGAGTCCAACTCCTTTGTATGGCAGATGAGGAAACTGAGGCCCCAAGAGGTTAAGCAACTTGCAGCAAACCCACTAAGAGAGTTTCTACTTGTATACAAAGTTCCCTACTTGACACTAAGCATTGACTTATTTGTAATAGTTTACATTAATTGAAAAACATAGAAAGTAATCTTGCAAACATTGCATACACACTGCGAATCCCCACTGAACCCCAGACGCCATTTCTTCCACTATTTTGTTCCAGTTGAAGTGTCTCCCTTTTGCTGCTGGGAGGAGTTAGAGAGGGTAGAATAACGTGTTTAAGAGCGTACAAACCTGGAAGAAGGACTTACACACCAGTCAAACAAAGGCACATTGCCGAAACGAAAGGTTAACTTAATGCCTCCAAAGGCCCCATATACCTTCAAGTTTTCTGCAGACTGTGCTATGTATCGCCAAACTGGGCACATACATATTCATTCTGTCTTCATGTAATACAAATACACCTCCTGAGCAACAGAAGCATCCAACTTGCTAGCCAAATATGCCTATCTAGTCAAACTTTATAAAGAGTCTAAGAAAAAGAAAGGTAACTAACTCTAATAACAAAATATAGATCATAGTTAAAATTTTTTCCTTAGAATTTCTCTGGGGAAAAAGAGAAAGAACTCTTAAGGATGTTTCCTCTATAGAGAAAGATAAGCCCTAAGAAATGTAGGTGTTTTATTTTAGCTTTAAATTGATATTGTCATTGGTGAATGAAAACCTACTGGTGAATTACTGAAGCGAGATCTGTTGATTCCAAAATAGACTATAAAACTTCTGTGTACATCACATGATGCCTGCAGCATGCTAAAAACTTTAATATAGAAAGTGATTCAATGATTTAAATTAATTTGCTTTTGCACATGTGAACAACAAAATTAAACTTTACCCCTTTCATACTGTCTCAATTTGATGAGTTTAACTCAAAAATCAATTAAATACTGTCACTTTTAGGTGGGGTAAGATTTTGTTCAAATTGTTGTAACATGGTTAAAAAGATCTAAAGAACATTCTAGTATTTGTGATCAGGGTAGACAAAGTTTTAAGACAGGTAATGAATTTACAGCTAATATAATAGCTTCAGAGCTGTTCAACAATAGGTTTTCTAGAAGCTAAGTCTCTAATTAACGTAGGTTATTTTTGACATCATAATTTGGAATAATTCATTTAGTGTTCACGCCTGCTACTATAATAAAGGTTATTTTGAGGTTCTTTTTTCCTTTCAAAACACAACTACTTTTGTTCCACATTCATTAACACATCTGAAAAGTTAGTGATAACTCACGGCTCGGCGAATGCGGGGCCTTTCTGACACTCCCTTGCAGATTGAAGTAGGCAGGCATAGATACATTGAACCTTTACAAATAAAACAAGGGGCCAGATTGTTCAGTTTGTATAGAATAGACTCTGCCAGCAATTTCAATACAGCATCTAGAACATGTTGATTGTAAAGATTCTTGTATATGGAAACAAAAGTGAACAAAATCAGGGTTTTTTTTCTAAGTATTGATTTAACAAGTGTTGACTCTAGAAAATGATGACTGCCCACAAGTAAAAATCACAAGCTGTAGCTCTAAAAAATGGTCTTTGGGACAAGTGCAGTTAAAAAAAAAAAAAAAAAAAACAAAAACTGTTTTAAGTATATTTCATCAGGACTTCAGTGAGGGCCTGAAGTTCAATTCAGGACGATACTATAGTGAACACACAAGAGGTGCAATGCAACATATTTCCAGTTTTTTTGCTCCCTAACATACAAGAAAAAAAATGTTCTTTTGGAAATCTGTACCCAAATTGTGCTAAGAAATTTAAATACAAATGTTTTTAAAAGAAGGAAAATTAAAAGCTCTCTACATATCTAGGAGTCCCCTTGCTAACAAATATCAAAGTTTTTCCATGTTACACAGCAGAATCTTTTTAGTGCTCAAGAATATTATAAGCCAAGTCCCTAAAATAGTCAAGATTCATGGGGAAGTTTTACTAATTAAACATTTTGCCAAGTAGGGCAACTGTTATTGCTTCAGAAATCACATCAAATCTAATATTGAGACATGTGTCCTGAAGACACAGCTATCAGGTAAAATGAACAAACAGAATGTGAGTTTACCAAATACATATGATGTGCCTTTAAGAAGAAATAGTTCCTGGGATTTCAAAAGATTTTCTTTTTAATTTCAAAGCTTCCTTGCAAAATGTGAATGGGTGCACTACAAAGCAACTGATAACTGCAGCAGTTATCAAATATCTATCTATACATTATAGAAACATTTAAAATAATGAAATAATAAAACCCCAAATAACCTGAGATATAGCTATCCTGAGGGATTAGCAACTTAGTATCTGCTTATTGATAGTTTAAAAGTTTCACTTAACTAAGATTGATATTTTAAGACAATTTGGATACATTATCAAGAAGCTTTAAATAAATTTATCTGGGCTTATGCCATGAAGTATACTTTGGCTAAACCAACAAGAATTGTAGAATGATTTTAGTTTCTGTCAAGATATCTGGCCCAAACCATGTTTTTCAAAATAAACTAGGCAAAACAGCACTCACTTAGGGGTAAAAATGGGACAGGTAGACTACAATAAAAAAAGAGGAAAGCATGCATCAAATCTCCTGATGATACATGGAATTATTTTACAAATTCAACATTCTCTGGAATTTCTGGGCATATATTCATATACAAATAACTCAAGGTATGAAAAAAAAGACTGCCCTGTTACACTAACATTAGATCCAAATCATGGAGCCAAAGCTATTAGTGAACAAATCCCTCTGTGTTTGGTAATGGGGTTACAATGGAGTCAAAAGGAGGCATAGAAGGCAGTTCTCTCTACCTTTAAGGAGTCTATGATTTTGCTAGAGAAACAGGATATTTAAATGAAAAAAAAAAAAAAAAGAAACAATAATGCAAGGTAGCATGATCCAAGGGCCAAAGAGACAGTATTTCAAACAGTAGTACCTTAGGAGTTCTAAGACTAAAATGACCACCAAGGACTGGAGAGGGCAGAAAAGGCTTCAGTGAGTAGAAGCCAAAATGTGAACTGCTGATAGGACTCAGACCAAAGGAAAAGAGAAAGAACAACATTCCAAACTGAAGTGATGTCTTGACAAGCTTATAGCAACAAAAGTTCGGGGAATACTGTATGAATCTTATTCACGCAGGGAAAGAGCAAAGGTGGGGGCGAGATCAGTGATTTTTTTTTTACCTAGTTTCTTAAATAAATTTTGTCATTATTTTTCTTCAACCCACGATTACTGTGCAATTTTTTTTTTTAAAAACAAAATCAACAACACAGGGCAAGGATTAAATCAAAAGTATTTGCATTAACAACAAAATGTACCGCCCATAAAAACATGGAGATCTCTCTGCCCCATAATGTCCACAATAACTGGGCTCTGTACATAAATACAACACCAAGTTTTTAGAATTAGAAACTTGATTGAGAACTTTGGCAGGCAATGTGTTCTTCATTTGATAGAAACATCAAAATTTTCCATTAAAATAATTTCCTATGAAGAAACTAACTTCAGAGTAACAAAAAATGCTCCTTTGTTTAACCCCTCCCTGAGTTTCACGAATTATAACCCATATTTGGGACACCTGAGTCACAGATACACAATAATAATGGAAGGCATAGATTCTTCTTTTTGAAGTCTTTCAGCAACGTCATGGAGCCTCAGTGGCACTTCAGTAGTCCGTTTCACTCGGGGAGCATGGACAGGACATTCAAAAAAAGAAATCTCTTGTCCAAGCTGCACTGCAATACGGCTATTCTCAAAATCCCGTTCCATCAGTTGGGAGGGAAAAACAGTAACCTTACTACAATTCTAACACGCCATTTTATGGTCTTGCCTTTTATGAAACTGTCTTAACATGTATATTATAGTAGTAACACTAAAAATCTCAGCCTAGATGTTATCTGACATCATTTTACATGGTGCATGCTAATTTCCCAACACCCACCCACCCACTCCAGTACCACCCACCTTCCTCCCTCCCATACAAACAATAAATAAATCAAATGAACTTTCACAGATATTTAGGAGCTATTTTAAAAACATCAAAATTTTACTTTACCCATTCTCTCCGATGCTCCCTGTATTTTTTTAAGCTGTGAGTGGATGACCATGCTATGTGATCAACTGTGAAGGCTAAGCAAAAGTGAACTGAGTTTAGTATTGTAATTTCAAAATAACCTTAAAGTTTGTAATATTTGACATATATAACGGTATGCAGAATCCTTACTTACTGCATAGTATCAAGCATTAAAGGCAAGCAATTTATAAAAACAATTATTATTTTTTAATTAGCTTAGAGCTTAGATTAGGGATTACAGAGGAGAAAACTCAACAGCACACAAAGCAAATGGAAGCATCCCCTAGTTTATAAATGGAGTAAAAGGGAAAGACCTCCCATATTCTCCAATGTGATGACCGAAGTCCTCCCAACAGATATAACTATTAGGGGCCAGGAGTCATTGTTGGCTTGGGACAGGAGAGCCACTTTCCCTCTGAAATGAAATTCACACCCCTTCAGTGAAAAGAAGCCAGCCCTAAAAGGAAAGATGTATAACTGAAAGCACTGAGTTTCCCAATTGCCTGTCCCAGAGTCCTTCAAATGCAAAAAAAGTTCCATCTTTTTACCATTTTTTGCACAATAAGCTTCTGAGTCTACATAATAATGTGAACTATAGAGAAACCCATGGATAATTTCTACTAGTACAGGGGAGGAAAAGACCTGAAGTGCACAAGAAAAGACTGTGTATTTATGCAGAAACAAGATAAAAGCAGGTGACTATTGCTGCAGTGGCTATTACCTAGAAGAACCACTTTTACCATCTCAAATTTCTCACGGCCTCTACTTACTGCCTTCTCCCACCTACCTTTGGTGTTCCTTTAGAATTCAGCCTAAAACACACCTTTAAAGCCCCTTTTGTAATTAATCTTTTTTAAAAATGTTTATTACTCCATGTCCCCTTGTAATAAATACATTCAGTTTAATCCTATGTGTATACAGCTCAAGTAGTTATTTCACTACTTGATCTTAACACAACTATAGACCTTTGTAAACAATTCTTTTGCCATGCCTTAGTGCATGTCAAAATTTTCAGGGATCTATTTATTGCATGAGGAAAGGAAAGAGTATTCGGCCAAAGATGGCAGTGGAAAAAGCCATTTGGGTATTCTATTTTGCAAATGTTCTATTAAATTCTCTTCTAACAGAATTTATAAAAGTATACTGTGCAATAATGGAGGCTTTCCTTTTCCCCAAAAAATAAGGTGACAACACTATCCCCCTTAATCCTTTCATATGGTTTGTAGAGATTTATTATTCCTAATAGGTACTACTATTGACCCCACCATAATCTCCATGACAAGCACAACACTTTAAAAATTCAATTCATATTCTAAAAATACCCAGAACAAGGTCATTCTGGCTAGATATAAGCAAAGATTAATAAAGCTACAATAATTTAAAAACTCTGCTAGCTCATTTGTCTATGAAAATCCACAAAAAAATGTTAAGGGAATGAGATTTTGGCAGGGAAAAAGCTTTGGTAGTAAGATAAAAGGTTCCTAGGGCTTTTAAGTGCTAACAGAATGATAATAAAAATGTGAAGACAGAAATAAAGTACCTACATTCCCAGGGCTCTATTTCAATATCCTACCCCTGATCCTATCTTCTCTCATTATACAAGCACAGAAAGAATCTTGGCCACTAGCAAGGGGTCAATGCCATCACATTTTTGGGAAAGTGGGGGACAGAGTGGGGCACATGGGTGAGTATGCATATGCTTTAGAAAATCGGTAAGACTTATTTGTCCTTTTGGATTTTAGAAATACATTAGAAAAGCTCAAACAGTTGCCTAAAAATTAAGTTCTAAAAATGCGTTATAATCAGAATGTCATAAAAAGAGCCAGGCAATAAAAAGTTGCAGCTGGCTATCAATTCTGTATTTTGATACTTACTTGCAGAGCTGCAATTCTAACATGCTAACTCTTGTACTCTACTTATCTGGTGGCTTCTATTACCCAGAACTTTCTATCCTCAAAATTAAAAGTAAGGAAAGCTACCTCTGGCTATAATGAAACAGCTGAAAAGAACTAAAGAGGAAGTGATTGGGTGCTTTATCTATTTTTTTAAAAAAAGTTATCCTTGGTTGGTGATAGATATTAAAGCCAAGAAGTGCCTCCCCAAATCCAAAACCAATGAAAGAAAAAGGGGAAAGAAATGAGAATACCAAAGGACAGAGGTGACAAGACAACTGAATGATAAAGGAAGTTAAAATGAAAAACAGACATTACCATGAAGGAGACTGAGCCTTACAACCACTGAAACAACACAGCAGAA